GTATTTTGGGCCTAAACCATTCAGTGCTTTATAAACCAGCAGCAGTATTTTGAAATCTATTCTTTGACACACAGGAAGCCAGTGTAAAGACTTCAGAACAGGAGTGATCCACTTTCTTAGTGTTAGTGAGGACTCGAGCAGCGGCGTTCTGAATCAGCTGCAGCTTCCTAATAGATGTTTTAGTGAGACCTGTGAAGACACCATTGCAGTAGTCCAGTCTACTGAAGATAAAAGCATGGATAAGTTTTTCCAAATCCTGCTGTGACATTAGTCTTTTAATCCTAGATATATTCTTTAGGTGATAGTAGGCTGATTTAGTAACTGTTTTAATGTGACTGTTGAAACTCAGGCCAGAGTCCATGACTACACCTAGATTTCTGGCTTTATCTGTTGTTTTGAACATTGCACACTGAAGCTCAGCGCTAACTTTTATACGTTCTGACTTGGCTCCAAAAACCATTACCTCAGTTTTATCTTTGTTTAATTGGAGAAAGTTCTGACACATCCAGTCATTGATTTGTTCAATGCACTTACTCAGTGTTTGAACTGGAGCATAGTCTCCTGGTGAAATTGTTACGTAAATGTGTGTGTCATCCGCATAGCTATGGTAACTTATTTTGTTGTTTTTCATTATCTGAGCCAGTGGTAGCATGTAGATGTTAAAGAGAAAATGCCCCAAGATGGAGCCTTGAGGAACCCCACATGTCATATTTGTCAACTCAGATGTGTATTTACCTATAGAAACAAAGTTGTTTCTGTCCTTTAAGTAGGATTCAAACCAATTTAGAACTGTTTCCGAAAGTCCCACCCAGTTTTCCAGTCGGTCTAGTAATATGCTGTGGTCAACAGTGTCAAACGCAGCACTGAGATCTAATAATACTAACACTGAAGTTCTGCCACTGTCTGTGTTTAAGTGGATGTCATTAAAGACCTTTACAAGAGCAGTCTCAGTGCTGTGGTTTGGACGAAAGCCTGACTGGAACACATCCAAACAGTTATTTAAATGCAAGAAATTACTCAACTGTTGAAAAACAACTTTTTCAATGATTTGACCTTGAAATGGGAGGTTTGATATGGGCCTGTAATTGTTCATTACTGAAGCATCTAGATTATTCTTTTTTAAGAGCGGTTTAATGACTGCAGTTTTCAGGGCCGGTGGAAAAACACCTGAGTGAAGAGACTTGTTTACTATATGAAGTAGATCTGAGGCCATGCAAGGCAAAACATCTTTGAAAAATCCTGTTGGAATAATATCAAGGCAGCAGGAGGAGGACTTCAGAAGTTGAATAATGTCCTCTAGGTTTTTATCATTAATCTGATGGAATTGTGTCATGATGTCTGAATTGATGTTAAGTGGAGATAGGGACAACACATTTGCTGTTCCTGATGCAGAGGCACTGACTGTTTGTCTGATTTTCTGAATTTTGTCAGTGAAAAAGGCAAAATCATTGCACGCCCTGGTGGATAGAAATTCAGAGGCTACTGACACTGGGGGGTTAGTTAGTCTGTCGACGGTAGCAAACAAGGCACATGCGTTGTTTTTGTTTTTGGTAATAATGTCAGAGAAGAACGATTGTCGTGCGTTTTTCAATTCCAAATGATAAAGGCCAAGTATATAGTATACAAATATTTCCAAGGCACTCTTTTATAATTATTGGGATAAACAGGTTTGAAATCATTTCAATGTATACTATAGGACAGTAAACCAAAAATATCGTTTAAAACTTGAGAGATACAAAAATATGCATAAATAAACGTTAACTAGGTAAAATAAGATATGAATGAACAACAAAAATCAAATAAGTTGCATTTATTTGTTATTGGCTATGGTAGGTTATTGGTTATGTTCACATACTTATTTGATTATTAAAATGTAAACCAATCTTTTTCATATGGGTGTTTAGAGTTGTACCCCTAGGTCAGGTCTCTAGTAATGTGTGCTCAAAGTGCACCTGATTGAAGCATTTTACTTTAAATGTTCAAACATTCCTTCCCGGGGGGGCATACCCCCGGACCCCCCTAGAGGATGTGACGTCCTCACCCCAATTCAAACATGTTCATACAATACCGAATACATTTGAAGCCTTTTTGATGTATATTACCAGCATGTCAATACGTTTCTGTTTTTGTAGTATATTGGTCTTTTGTAGAGATTTTTCATTTATTCTTTATATATTCTATTGTGTATTCCTTGGGTACTTTTATCTTTTCTATTGTACGATTGAAGTAAATGGGGGAAGCATTTAACAACAGCCATTTACTTCAAAGATTGTTCTCAATGTTATTCTTATTTTTGTTAATCCTGGAAGAATGCCAGAAAAAAAGACATTTTCTTCAAGAATACAAAAAAACATGACATTAGTAATTGTGAAAACAAATTAAATAAGTTGTTGGTTAAGTCAGGGCCGGTTTTTGGCATAGGCGACATAGGTGGTCGCCTAGGGCGCCAGATCTGGGGGGAGGCGCTGCGCTGGCAGCTCTGGGAGGGAAAACAACATTT